AAAAACTAAAAAGAAAAGAAACCCAAAAACTTTCTCAAACGAAGTTTGAGGCACTGAGAAACAACCACAAACAAAGCCTAAGGCTTCATCCTTTGTGTTCCGCATAAACTTTTTATACACAATATTTTATTTAAAAATATAAATTTTTAATTTTTAATTAATATTAATAAATATTTCATATAATTTAATTAATTTTAATTAATATTTTATATATTTTTAAGATAATAAAAAATAAAATATATAATTATAACAAATCCCAATACCATCAAGGGAAACATAGCTCTTTAACAGCTTAGAACCCTTTCTTTTAGAATTCAACTCCTATCAATAATTAAAAAAAAAAAAAAATTCCTTAACCCCTGTCGCCAATTTTCCATGTTTAAGAAAGAAAAAGTATGAATTAATTTGATGTGCATAAATTAACTCATATATATATATATATATATAATACCAATCGATTGCTAAAAAATTGGCAAATGACAGAATGAAGCTGCAAAAAGCCAAAAACGATGCATTTATAGGAGCAACAGAAGGGATAGAAACAGGAGTGAAATGAATACGACTAAAAGCACGCCTAACATTCCAAGCCTGGCACTCCAGGTCTTTGATTCCGTAGATCCTTCATTGAAATGGAAATGAACCCCAGGATCCTGCATTTTTATGCTGCTCCCCAGCAAAAGGGTATGTGTTGCCCCCTGAATGTTGTTGTTAACATAAATGTTGATGCAACAGCAACCTTCTGGTTCCCCTGTGCCACCACGACGTACGAGCATTGCCGCCCCAACATTTTTTCCATCTATCTTGACTCGATTAAAAGCGCCTAAGCTGATTTCCGGGGCCATGGTATGGTGGTGGGCTGATGTAGTTCCCTTGGTTGAGTTTGGGAGAGGTGTCTTCATGGTTGAGTTCTTGTTTTGGCTAGGCTGCTTGCTTCTTGACTGGGTCTTCTTTAGCTACAAGAAAAGACAATGTTCTATTAGAATGACTTGAGTCATACTCCTCTCCGCCTTCCCCTTTAGCCTTTACCTTTTCTTTTCTTTCCTCGTCAGTTTTATAGTATGTGGTTTTGTAATTTAGATTACAAAACCAAGGCCATTAGATGGGAGAAGGTGCAAACGTACTTCAGAACCCCCATCAAATGATTAGTTTTGTGTAATCTCAATTGCACAAAACATTTTTGATTTTTTAATGTCATATCAAACTTATGCATCAATGTTAGATTGCATATTCCTAACAATTTGTAAATTCTTTGGGTAATTAAAATTACAAAAAAAGCGTTGTACATATCAAATTAAAATGAATTGCATAACTTAAACTATTAGATAAGAGGTGGGTTCCTTAATATTAGAACTATTTCCTCATTCAATGATTCTTGTTTTACAATTTGATATAGTCTAGACTATAATGAAACTTTTACAACCATGTAGGGTGGAATAATATTTTGGGCTGGCATTGCAACCCCATTTGTAGTCCTTCAGTACGTGAGGAAAATTATGCAGTGGAACCGTTTTATATGTTGAACACAAAGCAGTTTTTGTTCACATCACTTCTTTCCAATTTCTGCAAAGCAATTGACAAACAAAAATGAAACATTGAGAAGTAGCAAAAAACCAAAAAATGATGCATTGAAAACAAATCCTGGAGAAGTACCAAAAAACCAAAAAATGACACATTGAGAATGAATCCAACAATCCTCACTCACTATAGAACTAACAACTTTTAAATTCGAGTTGCATAACATATAAGTGAAATAAGATAGAGGATGAAAAAAAATTACCTCTTATTATACAACTCAATATAAAAACGAAAATCGTCACTATAGAGTCATAGTAGTTTTTATTAACTTTGTTTTCCTCTCACACATCTCAACCTATATGTATCTATTCATTTAACATCATGTAAGGAATAAAGGATTCGAAGATAAATGAGAATTGGATTCTAAAAATGAAACAGGATCATAATCTTGAATGTTACATTCCTGAATTTATTACATTTTTTAACTTTCCTAGTTTCTCTAGATGAACGGGCCGGGCCTCTCACCCTATAGACCTACCATATCGATTCCAAAATGAAAAGAGCACCAGTAGCAATTGCAATTGCTATACAAAGGCAATGAACAACCATCTGAACTTTATTAAATATCAGCATCAGATGATACAAATTCCCTATAACAAGGAAACAAGTGCACTCTAGGTCCCTTTTGTCTTGAAGAAACAAACGCATCACGTACCATTATCAAAGTTCCAAATGGCTGCGTGCCATTTTCTGACAAAAAATTGTGAAATGAGAGACCTAAATAACATTACGGCCATGCATCTGGAGATACTCTTTCACTGATTGTAGAACCAAATTGTGGACCGCCCTTGCGATATTGGATAAGGTACTCGACAGGGTATCCTTTCAACTTATGCGGCACAATCCCCAAATCTGTGAAAGTCAAAACTGCAAAACCCACCACAACAGCATATAATGAGGGGTAAAAAATTTTGAATAAAATACAGAAAAGAATGATCTATTGTAAACCTAGGAATTTTGAACTGAGTCAACTGACCATTTTCTGACACAACTGTGTCAGTTGTGAGGGCATGTATCTGATCTAGATTGAAGATGTTGGGAGTTGGTAATGGAAATGGAACCTTCTTAAGAAATAACTCCCTTGGCGTTGATATGGCCTGAAACCAATTAAAGAACACAGGAAGTTAAAGAATGGTTCAAAAGGTAAAGACTACCCATGCCACTGTTTGACAATTGAAAATGACATCAAGATATGTTTACTAGAATTTGTTTGCTTATGGACTAAATTTCCTATATAATTAGGTAATAACACACCTTCTAATTAGGGCACTATTATAAGCAAATAAGTGATTCATTATTAACGAAAGTTTTGATGGCCACCATAGCTTTCTCATCACTATGGATAAACACATTTTCAAGAATAACAATGCCTCACACATCCACACTTCAGACAACTGTGAAGAGTAAACATTATAAGAGCTAAAGCATTTTTTATGCATTTAAGTAATTTTTACTAAATTTGAAGTAAAATCATATCCTAAATAGCCTAACTAGATTAGATAGATTGTGTAGTTACCTTGGCAATAGGAATTGGAACCTTCACATAGCGGGGCCATTCACGGATTGTTTCATACATCAGCTCTGCCTGCAGGGATTTAAGTTCAATAGAACTGACAAAGCATTGTTATAAGAAATTGACAGAAAAGGAAAATCTTACCAATTCATGCAGGGTAAAGATCTCTGGTCCACCCAACTCATAAACTTTTCCCATGCTAGTGCCATTGTCTTTCAGGGCCGCAACAATTGCAGCAGCAACATCAACAACATATACAGGCTGGATTCTGCACAGGAGTTGTCAGGAAAATGTAAAGAGAATTCCTGAAAAAAAAAAAAAAAGAAGACAAAAATAAAAATATCCCTGAATGCCAAGCACCCTGTGGGGTTTAGTGAATATGGAATAATGCAATTTTGCTTGCTTTTCTCCAAAAATGCAGTCTCCAAACCCTTCTCCCCAAATACCCAGCCATCCACTAACAAAAAGAAACCCACAATCAAAAGGCTCTAATGTCTGAACTGATAATCAAAACTTACTTGGTAGATCCATCACCAATAAGTGGAAGAAAGCTGTATGTCTTTGCAAAGTGAGCCCATGTATTCAAAATCCGATCCTCAGTACCAATCAACATAGCAGGTTTCATGACAGTGGCCTGTAGAAGGAAGAATATATTAAAAAGCTCTATTATTGTTAAAAGCAAAAGTTTATTTCCTTTTTATCAGCTTTTGAAGGCAAAAGTTAACATCTAAATTTTGAAAGCATAGAATAGCCATCCCACCACCTCTTCCCCCACTCCCTAGTCCCTTCCAAATAATCTCAGGGCTGCAGCTTTTCTTTTCTCAGGAAAAAAGTCAATTGTATTTCTTGTAAATTTTACCTTGTACTTAAGTTTTGCATGCATCTGGATTCTAATATGGTTGCTTCAATTTAATAGAAAGACAAGATACCCATTTGGGCTCATTATTGAAGCAACATCAAATCATCTTATTAAGTCCAAAACTAAATTCATAAAATTACTGCACTGTGAGCTAAAATTTCTGCTCATGAAACCCTATTTCCTTTTCCCCAACATTGCCTATAAAAAACCTGGACTTCAAAATCCCACCTTTTCTCTTTTGAGCTAGGGCCTTTTTTTTTATTTTTATATATGTTTAGTGCAATTGTTTTGGGTAGAACCAAAGGCAGAAAAGATATTAGTTCCTGGGTTCCTAGAATCCCATTTTGAAATGGGACACAATAAAGAAGCAAAATATGGCCAGGGTTTGAGCTCATGGTTATGGTGATGGTCTCTATTAGTAATAAACAAATAACACTTTCCAGATTGCATCACACTCTTGTTCACTCTACTGCCAACTCTCATAAAATTTACTAATCCAACATCAACATCTGTGGCTGCAGGAAGTAATCAATAAGTACAGTAATTACCTCAGGTAACGTTCTCAGTATGGCCTCCTCTGCTGCAGCTTTGGCTCTTAGCATTCTTGATTGAGATGATGGAGAGGCCCCTAAGCACGAAACTTGAATAAATCTCATGATACCACCATGTTCTTTGGCAATCTGTAATAATGAAGAAAGAAAACAAAATGACCCGCAAATAAGAAACAAGCAAGGCACAAAAAAATTTTGATTCACTAAAAGTCATGAATGAATCAAAGATAACAATAACAAGCTACACAAACTATCATCAATTGTTCACAAGTAGAAAACCCAAATGAAGGATACACACTAGAGCTTACAATGATGAATTACGCAGATTTGCATTCAAGTGGGTTGCCATGTGAATTCAACCTAAGCAAATAAACCCACCCCACCCCACTCCACCCCATCACCAAAGAGAAGAACAAGCTCGTGTGTCATTACAGTCACAAGGAGGACAATTCATACCATTCACAAGGACTATCCAAACCAATGAAAGAAAGCCAAAAATATGGGAAAAAAACATATTTAAACCAATAAACAAGAGATGTGCCATGGAATTGTCAAATAAAAAATAAATAAATAAAGTAAAGGACTCTGAATGGAATTCTCTACATACCACTGCAAGCTGTTCTGCCATGTGATGGTTCACTTCCTCAAAGCTATAATTTCTTGTCTCATACTCTCTTCCTGCCATTATAATCATAATTTAATTTAATCAAACACCACGAACTCAATATATGTAAAAGGAAAAATTAAATGAGAGCAACATATACCAATAAGATTGATAACAACATTTGCCTTTGCCATTGCAGCCTTAATAGAATTCTCATCCCTTGGATTGTATTTCATTGGCACTATCTGAGTATGTGAAATATGATGGTAATACCAGAGATACAAGCAAAACAGTGAGAGATTAATTCCAATTGCTAATATATATAATTCAAGCCAGTAAATATTATGTGATGCTCTACCTGTCCTAAATCTCCCATCAACTTCAGATGACGAGGAGAATCCTCAGAACCTCGAAAAGGAACCAGCACCTGGGATCCCATTTTAGCTGAATTGAAAGTAAAGACATCACATACACATTACAAAGAAACCAACAGGCTATAAACAGAGAATATGAGAAAATATATCAGAATGAGGGATTAGAGACAATTTTGACTTGCCAAGTTGTTGCACAACATAACGTCCAAGGAAACCAGTAGCTCCAAATACTGTAGCGATAATGCCACTGCAAAAACGAAATTTGTATTCCCAAATCAATAAGCGCAATCTTGTCTTGGAAAAAACCACATACAGCTTACTAAATTGGTCTCGGCAAAACCAGAATCAACACAACATAGAAATGAAGGACAAAATTCAGTCTAAATTTTCAATGCAAGCTCAAAAAGAAGAATAAACTGAAATTTTCTTGGTAACCAAACAGACGATGAGGAAAGAGAAGGAAGATAGATTACCTAACAGAGGATCGACCGCCAGTACCCTTGCGAACGAGGTGGCCGACGCCCTTGGGGGTGAGGGTAAATCCGTCTTCTGGATGATCAGCTCCATTATCTGCAAAATAGATGATCGCAATCAAATGAAGACTGCCAACGAAGAAGATGGAAATTAGGAGAAAAAAACAGGAAATGGTTGGTTACAGTAATGGGCTAGAGGGTAGAGTGAGTTGAGAGAAGAGGCTGAGGCCGCCGGCCGGAGAGACTCTTGCGCCAAACGCCGTGAAATCGCCTGCATCTTTCTCAGCTCAGACGGAACGGAGAAGACGAGGAAAGGACCTTCTGTCAGCGGAAGATGGAGAAATACAACGGTGAGCGGGTGAAGTCAGATCGAATTTGGGTCAAGTCCGGGTGAGAGTAGATACGGGTTATAGCCCATGGGTCAAATGTCATCAGCTTCGGCCCAAGGTGAATTTTGGACATAATTAATATTTTTTTTATCTTAAAATAATAGAGTTTTTATTTTATATTTAATTAAGGATTTAAAAATAATTTTTACTTTTACATATTTTATATTTTAAAAAAGAAATATAAATAAAAAGAAATGATCATGAGATTAACGTAAAAATTTTTTTTTCTCTCAAAATACTAGAAAACATGAGGTAAATTCCACATCAAAAGCCCTTTATTATTTTGGGATAGAATGCGTAAAAATAAAGTTTTTCTAATCAAATTGCAAGAAGTCATTAAATGGAAGAGGGAGCTCTCCATATCAAGGAATTAGTTATTATTTAATGATTTAAATTATGTAATTCTAAACAATTTAAATTATATAATAATTTTTTGATAAAAACAAACCAAGAGGTTTGAGGTTTGAGGCTTGTGGTATAGTTTTGAATAATTCATACTAATTTTTAATATATTTTTAACTATTTAAGATACTCAGTTGAGTGGACACAGAGGGTAATAGGGGCAGGGGCCATGGCCCATGCTCTTTTGAAAAAAATTAATACTTTTTAGTATTTTATTAAAATTTTAATAAATTAATTAATATATATTTAAATTTAGTAAAATAGTAAATATTAAATTTAAAAATTTTAGTAAATAATAAAAAGTTTACCTTAATATTTATTTGAAATAAAAGAAAATAGATTTACAAACTGCTTTTGTTTTTTTAATTATTATTAAAAAATAGCATACAATATTCATTTTTAAAAAGGAAATCATAAAAGTAGTTTTTAAAACTCCAAACTAACCCTAAAATTTCTAGAGCTAAATTTTACTCATCTCCTCGTTCATTCTTCTCTTTATAATGGGACATTATATTTCATGTTAGTTGAAGAACTCTATTTTCCTTTTATCTTTTTTTTTTTTAAATTTTTTATTGTGTATTAATAATTTTTTTCAGTAATTAAATAGTTTTAATTTCTGATGATAAAATAAATAATCTGATTCCTTACTTTTTAAAAATATCAATCATATATAATTTATAAGTTGGTTATAATGCTCATTTTATAGATGAAATGATTTAGTTTTAAAGTATCATATTTCATGTTAATAGACATTTTTGTTTTATTATTATTAAATTATAAATAAAATTATAATTTTTTTCAAGATACTATAAACTTAAATTATTTTATTTATTAGTTAAAATTTTATCCATAACTCTAATAATGTGAACAAATAATATAATTTAATTTTATAATATCATATTTCCTGTTGAATCATTTTTTGCCTTATATTATACTCATATATAATAACAATAATAAGTTTTGGCCCTCTCTTAACTTTTGGCCAAGTTTCGTTCCTGCACTTGAGGGTGGTCGGGCTACTCGGAAGAATTAGGAAAAGTTTGAGAGCGACACTTGTATAAAACATAGCTAGTGTGCACATTTTCTTTGAAACTTAATGAAATAGTTATTGCAATAAGAAGTAATATAGTCAACATTTGTACATGGCAGGGAATACATAACATTGGGAGGGTGGTGAACTCAGCAATAAGGGCTAGTAGCCCTCTCTATCCTGCCCCCTGCTCCTCTTGGGTTGAAAGACTCTTGATTGTCGTAATTGTGATACAAGGACAATATTCATGAATATTAAATTTGAGTTTTGATAAGTTGAATTTACATACATATTAATATAGAAATTTTACCTTAATATTATTGATATTTAAATAAATTTTATGAAATTTTACTTGATTTTACATTATTGTTATTCTTTGTATGGAAAAAGACACAGAGTGCGTTTAGGATTTATATGAAGTATTGTGACTATAATTGTGTTGAACTGTATTATACTATAATTGTGTTGAACTGTATTATACTATAATTGTGATTGAAAATTATTCTAGTATTTGATTATGTATTTTTTGAAAGTATTGTGAAACCCAACTTTATGAATAAGATGAAAATTAAGACAAAAAAAATACTATAACTAAACATAATAGTGACAAAAAAAAAAAAACCAATAGTTTTTAGTATAAATAAATTAACAAAAGAAAATTTGACATTGGTGCCTTTTTGCTTGGGAGTAGGGACTAAGCAGACTTTTTGGCCCCTTACCAAAAAATTTTTAGAGGATCCTAACAAGCATAGGGATGGGGAGGGGGTAAACACCTGCG